TTATTTTTTATTTTTACTCCACACTAGGTTCAACTCTCTCCGCACTGTGCGAAGAGTTTCTTTTCAATTTTACAATATTGAATTATACAAAATTTAGAAATATAATCTTCATATTTAATTCAATCATATCAACATATTAAAGAATACAAGCAAAATAGTTTGTATATTTCTTATTCAAGTATGAAGTATACAAACATATTTTTCTAGATAACATACTGCTATGCAATTGTAAAAATAATTTACAAAAAATATTTTTAAATATTGCTTCAAAATTTTTTCAAAAAAACTAAAATTCATACACTAATAAAAATACGATAAATACAAAATTCGTGCAACGCACGTGATAGCGACTGGTATTCTTTATTGCATCATACATCCCTAATAGAAGTTTGGAGTAAATTTAGCCCCTGATTGATAACCATTATTTAAAAAGCATACTCATAATACATTCATACAATAAAATATTCTACATATAAATTTAAATCTTTTTCCTAATTTTTAACTACACATTCTTCTAAAAATCAATCAAATAATAGCAATCAAATAAGGGAAAAATGATCGATAGTCGGTCTATTTTTTCTATGGCTGATGTCATCTTCGAGAAAGTTGATACTATTCAACCAATCTTATCTATCTTGATTGCCTCCACATCTCTCGCAACTCAATTTCTTTAGAAAGAAAGTTATCTTTTTCTTCAAGTATTTAATTAAATCCAGGTATTGTAAAATTCCCTCAATTTTATCCTTGAACATTTTGAATTTTCCATTTCTAAAAAAATCCCATTATTGATTCATTCTTAATCGAATATGCTTACTGATACTACCAAAAATTGTACCTTGTAGATCTCGGGATGAGGATTGAGAAAGGGCATGAAGGAGGCCTTTCGGTACCTACAACAAAGGCAACGATATGTGTTTTCGTCGCTCCTTCAATACTTAAGTCAAAAAGTGGGCTGAGGAAAAATATACACTAAAAACTGCAAGTGTATAACGTACCTAATTAATGAGTTGAGGGTTTATATTTATAGAGGCAGGTAGTCGAGTCTTTACAAAATTGAACTTAGTGGGATGTTCTTATTCAATATAGTCCTATTTGAGAGGAATGTTTTACTCGTAGTACAATTGTATGACCAACGGTGGTGTTGTTGACGTAGGAGTCTTGGGGTGCGATATTTATACTGTGTTAGAATTCTTAGAAAACAGGACTTCTTGTGGACTTGGCAAGTGGGGGGTTAGGTCCAAAGGAAGTGTTAGATGACAAACACTCGAGGACATAGGAAAGTGAATCTTGAGACGTGCGAATTGTAGTCGTCTAGTAATGTTTCCCGAGGACCATCATATCCCGAGGACTGTGTTACCAAAATGGGATGTCAAGGGCGTGTGGGAGTCCTCGGGGAATGTGACTCCTCGAGATGTGGTCGTCTTCGGGCGTCAAAATTTGGCAATACCACTTACCAGTAGAGATGTTTATTATTTTATCGAGGACAATAACGCTACCATTGCATTTACAAAAGAATTTCAGATCTAAAAAAAGGGAAAATTTCATAACTAAGAAATTAATTATGGCACATTTCAAAAACAAGAAAACAAGTATCAAATTTCTAAAATCAGATTTTTATTAAAAATTATTTATAATTTAATTAGTTAATTAATTATTTTATTAATTAAATATATATAGGTCACGGATCTATACAATTTGATCACAAATTAACAATATAATTAGTTACTTATTATTTTTTGGTCACAAATCAAAAATTTTATGTTACAAAATTTTTTACGATAACAATTCAAAAATTTTGTAAGTCACAATTTGTTTATTGGTCACAAATCCAAAAATAATTAGTCACGGATTAATTTTTAGTCACGACTTATCATATTATTGGTCACAACTTATTTTTCGGTCACAAATTAAAAATTTTATAGGTCACATATTATTTTTCGATCACGAATCAAAAATTTTATAGGTCAAAGATTAATTTTTCGATCACAACTTAATAAACTATAAGTCACAAACACAAATTTTATAGGTCACATATTATTTTTCGATCACGAATCAAAAATTTTATTGGTCACAGATTAATTTTTCGGTCACAACTTAATAAATTATAAGTCACAAACACAATTTTTAGGTCACGTATTATTTATTAATTTTAGTCACGAATTAATTTTTAGTCACACTTATCAATTTATTGGTCACAAATCAAAAATTTTATAAGTCACAAATTATTTTTCGATCGCAAATGAAGATTTTTTAAGGTCACAATTCAAAAATTTTGTAGGTCACGATTTGTTTGTTAGTCACATAAGTCACAGATCATAAATATTGTAAGTCACATATTATTTCTTTTTAGGTCACATACTATCCTCGGTCATAATTTATCATTTTTAGTGGTCACATATTGTTTATTGATCACAAGTTAACCAATTTAATGGTCACGATCAACCAATTAATCTGTGACCATCACCCAACCACCATCACGACCACCGCCACGACCATCAACCAATTAATCTGTGATCACAGGTTTGGTTTCATTGTAACAATTTTGACCTGTATCCATGCCCCAATCTTCACCTCAGCAGTGTTAATGAATCATGTTAATTAACTAGCATCTTTGCCATTTTTCATTTTAACCAGAGAACTGATAAACATAATCTCTACCCAGACACAGACAAAACCGTCACCCAAAAAATAAAAATAAAAAATTGCCAAAGCACCGAATCGCAACCACCACCGCAATGTCTGTGCCAACATCGAACCGTCACCCCATGCCTGTGCCACCACCATCACCACCTATAACACCACCACCGCAACATTCACAACACCATCAATCACCAACAAAAAACCCCAAACTCAACAAAATCGTCACCCAAAAAATTAAAAAAAATCATTGTACCCATTGCACCTTCGTTCCCCACGACCGCCACCACACACCTCTACCATCGCATCACCGCACCACCACCATCGCACCCACAACATCATTGTATCATCTCATCACCACCACAACCACTACCACAATAACACCAAAAATACCAACACCAATAATTGTCACTGCTGTAGATGACACCAATTGCTGCTGCACAACGACGTCGCTTTTCGACACTAGACGGCACCATCTTCGCTTCGCAGCAGTTCCAATTTTTGACGAGATCTAACGGATCTGAAGGATTGGCGTCACACGAGTGGCTGATGGAGCCACCAAGGTGTTCCTGCTCATGGTTGTGCTGTGTAGGGGGATCCTACGAGTGGTTGTTTTCAGGTGAGTGGCTAATGGAGCAACAATTGGTTTCCAACTACGATCGGCTGTGTTTCAGGCGAGAGTGAAAAACAAGAGAGAGAGAATGGATTGGGGGAAATGAGGTGGGGTTGAGGGCTGGTTTATAATTTAATTAAATTTTATAATATATTTATCTAATAATATTATCTTAATTAAAAAAATCTGATTTTTGAAATAATAAACTTAACCTATGATTTATTATTTTATCGAGGACAATAACGCTACCATTGCATTTACAAAAGAATTTCAGATCTAAAAAAATGTAGGGAAAAATTCATATTTCAGGTGTATTCTTTACACCATTTCAAAAGCCAGGTAAGAAGTTTGAAAATTCAAAATTCAGGTTTGTATTTAATTAATTAAAATTATTTATTAAATAAATATATTAAAGTCATAGTTAAACAATTAATGGTCACAAATTTTCCAAATTTATTTATCAGTCACATATCATCAAATTAATTGGTCACGGATTATTTTGAGGTCGCAAATCGAAAATTTTATAGGTCACAAATTTTTTTAGTCACAGATTATCAAATTTTAAGGTCACAGACGAAATTGTTGAGGTTACAGATTATTGTTTTAGTCACAGATCGTCAAAATTTAAGGTCACGAACCAAAGCGTTGAGGTCACAGATTTTTATTTTAGTCACGGATCGTCAAATTTTAAGGTCCCAGACCAAACTTTATGGTCACCCCTTCCACCAGTCCCATCCAACACCAATCTTGGTCACAAACCACCACCATCGTCGATTGCACTATATCACCGCAACACCATACCCGATCCCGATCCAATTCCACCACAGCACACCAAAAAAAACCATTATCGCCGTCTGAACCACACCATCATCGCCACCAGATCGACCACCAACACCGTCGCCGCCAACAATACGGAGATCACCACACTGCACAACACCACAACCACCATCCAGCAAAAAACCCCAAACCCAACACCCCGACCAACTCCATCCCGTTGTCGCCGCTAGATCCACTTGTCCACCACCATCCCCGTTCGCCGCCATCACCAAGCCACACAACAACCACCACACCACACCCCAAAACCACCACCAAACACACCACCCGCAGGCCATGACATAACAAAAATCCCCAAACCCCCAAACACGCAACCTACGTGTTTACCGGCAAACTACAGATTCGCGTGCAAGGCGTCGACGCTAGAGTTGCACGAAGCGCCGGTTGCGTCTTCAATAGATATTTTGGCAATCGGCAGCACGGCGCTTACACCCCAACGCTACCAGTTGAGAATCACAGCAGCCTCCACCGACAACCACCACCACCACCACCACACCCCGACGCCGCAAGCTGAAAACTACAGCAACCTCCACCGAACAACACCACCACACCCCAAAGCTGCCAGCTAAAACCACAGCCTCCACCACTACCACACCCGACCCGCCACTGCAGCGACCGCACCGGAGAGGGACAGTGATTGGCGATCGGATGGAATAAAGTTAGAGGGAGAGAGAGAGCAGAGAAGCGAGAGAATAGAAGGGATGAAAATAGTAGGGCTTGGGAATTAAATTTCAATATTTAATATTTTATTATTATATCAATACCTGATATTTGAATTATGAATCTTGGTCCTTGATGTTTGAATTGTGATGTTCAAAGACCTGGAATTATGTAATTTTCCCAAAAATGTATGAGATTCTTTTCACTAAATCCATCATTGACAAGCCCATTTATTCTAGTTACAACTCACAAGTGATCGAGAGCCCATTTTTCTACCTTGTTTCCATCTTCGGCCATTATTGGTTTCTTGATTCGTTGGTAATTTTGTTCTTCCGACAAGAATTCACTAACAAAATAAATCCCATTTCGACAAAATCAAATCGCTGAGAACCCAAGAAACATTCACAAGAAACAAAAGAATCAAAATTCGTCATATAATGCACCACCATCCACCACCCATCACCACCACGACCGCAACCACCGGCGCTGCCATTACTACCCGTTACATACTCTTAGCCACCGCCCTTTTCTTTTTTCTCCTCATACTCTCCTTCACTATTTCTCCTTCCTCTCCACCTACCATCACCAAACCCCACCCCTCCCTTTTCCCCCACCACCACCGTAACCTTTTCCACAACCCCAACACCACCCAGAACCAGAACACCCCTGCAGCTACGCCGCCTCTACCTCCAACCCCTCCCTCCATAGCTTACCTCTTATCCGGATCCGCCAATGACTCGGATCGGATCCTCAGACTCCTCTACTCCATCTACCACCCCAGGAACCAGTACTTGCTCAACTTGGATCGGGCAGCTCCTCAGTCTGACCGTGATACTCTGGCCCTCAGGATTCAATCAGAGCCCGTCTTCAGGGCTGCCCAGAATGTACATGTAATTGGCAACGCTGACTATGTGTCCCCTACAGGTCCTTCATCTCTTTCCTCCACACTTCATGGCGCCTCCGTTCTGCTTCGTATTACAGCCAATTGGGATTGGTTCATCAATCTCTCTGCTAATCATTACCCACTCGTTACCCAAGATGGTATATTTATATCTGTATTTTCTTATGCCTATCTCGTGAGATTTTTATTTATTTATTTATTTATTTATTTATTTTTTATTATTATTATTATTATTATTATTATTATTATTATGTATATTTATATCTGTATTTCCTTATGCCTATCTTGTGAGATATTTATTTATTATATTATTATTTTTATGTGTATCAGTTATTTGGATGCTGGGATTTCTATGACATTTTGTCATAATGGTTTCTATAGTTCTTTTAATCTGTTGTGTATATTGTGTTTGTGTTTGGTATGTAAAATGTGCCTGTGTGTGTACATAATGCGGACGTGAGCGACTTGTCAGTCTATTGATTTCTTTTGCTGCCTACCTACTTCTCAGTCAAGATGGTAGCTTTGTATATTGTGCTTCACAGAGAGAGAGAGAGAGAGAGAGAGAGAGAGATGGGGTGGGGCGGGTAGCAATTCGATTTGAAGTTTGTTAATCTTGTATGTTTCTATATATTCAGATGCAATTTTGGGAACGTTAAGATTTCCATTGCTTGTTAGCATCCTAGAACGCTTTATTCTATGTGTGTATTTTAAACTTTTTTCGAGATTTTTGCTGATTTACTGCATTTTATAAATGCTTGTAGCTATGTGCATTATTGTTTTGGTTTAGATTTAAACGTAGGTTCCTTTTGAAGTTTGAAATCCCAATCACATTTTGCTGAACTTGATACATATGTAGTTATTTGGCATGCTCTGCATCTGTGTATGAGAGAATGTTGTTGGTGCCTGTAATGAAAATATTATATAATAATCTTTCAGAATTCATCTTAGTATACTGACATGGGGATTTTTTTACTTTTCAGATCTTTTACACATTTTATCATACCTGCCTAAGGATCTTAATTTTGTCAATCACACAAGCTATATTGGCTGGAGAGAGTATGGATTTTCATTTTTCATCATTTATATTCTCTTATATATGCTGATAGGGAGAGAGAGCTAACAAGGAGCAATCTTGTGTAATAATTTAAGTTTATTTCTTATTGTTTTTAGAGCTCGGAAACTGAAACCAATAATAGTTGATCCTGCGCTGTACCTTGTGGAAATTAGTGAAACATTTTATGCGACTGAAAAGAGACAGGTTCCGGATGCTTACCGATTATTTACAGGTCAGCTCTACAGTACTTTTATTTGTTTTCTTTAAGAATGCTAGTGAGCCGTTGAATATCTTAATCCTTATGGATGTGTAAACCGAATTCATAGAAAGATTGGAGTGGCTGGAGGCTTCTTTTGGTGAAATAGCTGAAAGTGATATTTAACTACATTGCATTCTCATTGTTTCTCAGAAAAATTTATAATGATTATACAGTGAAAAATAATTTCTTATCTTTTTCTGATTGACTACAGAAAATGTGGAAAATAATTTTAATGTCGTGTAAAATTGGGAGAATGCCTTCTCACTCATTCAGTTCGTGCAAGACATTTTCTGCAGGTTGGATAAATTATACCTAACTTACCATTAAGGATAGAATTTCTACTCGATAGTGGTTCCGCACCGAAGCTTATATTTTTTAATGTTTTAAAGGTACTTTGGGAAGTTTTCACATGTATTATGTTACCTTAATATATTTTACTATGTAAAGGATATTAAGGGAGCCTCTTGTGGTCTAGAGAACGTTACAGAGAGGTGTGAGTTTTGAAACATCATATTGTAATTCTCCTCCTTCTCTGTAGCGAAATCCTGCAGAGGCAAGTGGATGTAGCTCTTACATTGAGAGTGAACCACTATAAATTCCATTTTCTTACTTGCTGTTGATTTTCTTTGTTATTTGTTATTATTGCTCTTGGTAATACAAGATTAGCTATTAATCCATAACAAGTGTGAATGATGAACTTAGAAAGACTGCTTGGCATACATAATTTCTTCTTATTATGGGTAATTATAAAGATGATGGTGTATATAATGCTAGTGAACATTTTGCCGGTTTGGAACGTAGCATTGAATATGACTCAACAGCATGATGAATTCCTTAATAATCTTGTGTTATTTATTCCTCCTAAAATTGCCATCAGCTTTAACAACATGATTGATTAACAGGGTGTTCGTTTTTGGAATGAGCCTACCAGTTTTTCTGCTGTATATTAGTATTCATCGACATCCTGACAATCATATTGCTGCTAATCTGATACCTGTCCTGCTTCATATTGTTAATGTGCCAGAATAGTATTTCCATATGATCCATGCAATTCTTGGTAGTATACCAGACAAATTAGAGGGTAGCCACAATGGATAATTTCTCTATTCCTGCTGGCTTTTATGGCTTTACCTTCTAATTCCGAAAACTGAATGTGTATAAATAGTTCAAGATTTAGCCCTAGTCAACAAAAAAAAGGGAGGCAAGAAAAAACTTAGTACATGGGGAGGTAATGCTGTGTGTAAAGCATTTTGATCAAACCTGCCCGGTCCAACCAAGAGAACTAAACCTGACAAAAGCATCAATTTCCTTTTGGGTGAGCACTCCCACTAGCACAGAAGGAAATTTTATCTACTCCGATCTTCACTTTACCATGCCCATCTGGTTGTATAGGAAGGGATGGAATTATACCGCGGTGAATCTCCATAGGAACTAGTCTCTTAGATTTTAGATGGTCATTTCATGGAGTACAGGTACAGCCCCAGGGCCATGAGAAAGATATAGGTAAATTGCCTAGATAAATACGCGATTTGTAAGTGAAGATTGTAAAAGAGTTGGTATTTGTGCAGTCCTGCCTATTGGTAGTTGTGTGGTCCGACCCAAGCAAAAACATTTTTAGAGGAAAGCACCTGAGATTATATACTTCGAGATGTGTTTTAATTGATGCAGAAGTAGAATGTTGAATATCTTGATTTTATGCGTGTAGACCAGTGTTTCTTATAAGTAAAACAGTAAATCAAAATGAACACTACTCTAACTTGACATAAAATTTAGACGCGCCTAGTATCAAATTTCATTTTCTCTAGAGAAACAAAAGTGTGAGTGCTGTCAAATTTTAAGGTAGACTTCGGTGCTGATTATCGAAGTTTTGTAAAAATATGAGAGGGAGTAACTTAAATACTAAAAAAATTAACATTCATTTGTCCTAGATATATTCTGTGAAAATTATGAAAGCTAGTGGTCAGTTTTCAATGTAGTTATTGGCGCCTAAGTTCCGACATTCTATATTTAGATCGTAATAAAGAACATATAGAGGACAAAACTCCTGAAAATTGGGATGTAGTTTTTCGGGTGTTTGACACCTAGACATGCTTACTTTACCATCTATGCTCCCATGAAGAAAAGTTTAGCAGGAACCTAAGCCATCTCGGAAGGAGGTTTAGTTTTGCAGCTTTTGATATTATCAAGAGATAAAATTGATATGTAAATTTAGTTTCTTATTCATCTTATCATGAGAAGGATGGAGATTAGGATTCCAACTCCGTACATAGAGGTTGCTTCTGGAAAATAAGAGGCAAAATGATTTTGAGTGAAGTTCAAGGATTGACGTCGCTTTTAAAATAGACAATTTCTAGAGTGCAACTACTTAAAGCTTTATGACAGAGATGAGCACTATTCTTATCTTGCTTCCCTGGTGCGCTTCTTTTTGTTACATTAACTATATGCCCCCCTGTTTGGCTCCCATTTTCTAAAACTCATTTTCTACCGCATACTTGGGTCCCATGAAATGTATAATTGGAAAATGGGTTGTGGAAAAATGGGTTTCAAAAATGGACTAAATCTTCTTTTTCATTCAGTATGGTTAAAGAAGCAGAAAAGGAGGGATAATAGAATTGGATCATTTGTTCTTTTGCTTACAGGTTCATCATCTGCTATTTTAACCCGCAAGTTTGTTGAGTTCTGCATCTTGGGTATAGACAACCTTCCCAGGACTCTGCTAATGTACTTATCTAACACACTGGCATCAAATCTTGTCTATTTCCCGACCATTCTATGCAATTCCCGGCAATTCAATCGTACTACTATCAACCACAGCTTGCAGTATGTTTCTTTCGACTCCAGACAGGAGCCCCACCCGCTGAATTCTAGTACATTTGATGATGTGATCCAAAGTGGAGCAGCCTTCGCCTCACCATTTCTCCCAAATGATCCAGTTCTCGACCGCATTGATCAGGAAATTCTGGAACGAAATCCAGGCAAACCCGTACCTGGTGGCTGGTGTTTAGGTGAATCTGAAAATGAGAAATGTTCGGTTTGGGGAGATGCTGATGTTTTGAAGCCGGGTCCAGGAGCTAAAAGACTTGAAAAATGTCTTGTTAAACTACTATCAAATGAAACAATTCGATCTCATCAATGTGTAGATGTATAGACAAAGGTACAGAAAAAAGTCGTCTGCAGCCCAGTTCTGAAATTTGTTGTGTCTTAACAACATTTAGCCATTCATTTATACTAGTAAAATGTAGTTCCATATTTAGCTCAGCATGACCAATGTACATTGCCAAACGGTATCTTTCCGAATTTCATATACTGGAGAATTTTTGCGTATTTTTGTCGTTTAAGTGTATAATGTATGAGGAGTGTGTAACGTCTGTACTTCTTGAATTTTGTTTGTCAAGAACACAAATTTTTGAAAAGAAGTCAGCAAATTTCTTCTTTGAATTGCATATTCTGAACTCTTGGACTTGGTGTTTCGTTTTCTGTAGAATTGTTCATGTTGACAATGAAATATAGCTTTGACCGGGCTTTTTGCCCCTCTAATGGCTCGTGTCATTGGATGACTTTGAATAATACTAAAGTCCCGTTTGTTTCCCATTCTTTGACCAAAAAAATGAAAAATATGATCATTATCCATCACATCAAGTTATTATATTTGACTTCCTCCATCTTGTGTGGATTCCGTGACGACTATATTTTTCATTCTCATCCTTATAACAATGGGAATAAAATGGGGACTAAGAAAGATTATTTAAATGCTAGTAAAGTTTTTGATTCTCGAGATTGAATTGACAATTGATTCTTGCAAGAATTGTCACATTTAGCCTCCTCGAACTATGCTTGTCCAAGGAATGATAATACTGAACGCTAATCTAAGTGTTAATATGTTATAATTCCTAATAAACACGTAATAAATCTTTATACTTAGTTGAACTTGTAATTTAATGATACAAGTGTGCTACCTAGATTGGTGTTAAACACCAATGGCGATGAATTACTCTGGTCAAAATTGCCTCTTATGCTTTTGTAATAAGGCACAAATTGAAAGGGGGGGAAGGGGGGGGGGGGG